GCATGTTTCCTACTAAAATGACACAGATTTACATTTCCAGATCTCCTTGCACAGGGTTGCAGACAATCAGCCTTCATCACTATGGAGGAAAAAATGGTATCACCACTAATGTCATTAAAAATAGAACAAAAGAGGGCTTTTGTTGGGTGACTGCTGCCACCAATCTTCTCTCAATTCTTTCAGACTGTAGGAATTGAACTGAATATAGTACGGACTAGAAGGGCTCTTTAATTGATATGCAGCCACTGAAGTTTCTTGAAGAAATAGCACTTATCACCAAAGTAAACATTAATAAATGTGATTCAGTTGCTATCCTAACATTAATCTCAGCATTTCATTCTGAAAGATGGGATAACTCATAACCAATTATTTCATTTTCTCATAGCAAATATTAAAACTTGAATAAATCACTCATACAACTTCTTACATTCATATCTCAAAAGCATGTCAAAATGAAAATAAAATCATGTTTTGCAGGGCTTTCAAGAAGGACTTTGATATATATATCTAGGTATTTATTAATTTCTGAGAGCTACCATTTTTATAAAGCATTTAACTGAATCAAGTCATCTGCTCCAAGGCCATAATTATCTTTGAGAGTAAAGAATGTACACAGACCCATCAGTATTCAAGGCACGGGAGGAATAGTAAATCTTGTGATACTGGGTATTATTTCCACTTCCACACTAGGCCATACAGACTGAATCCACATGGGAAGCCCTCTTTCAAATGAATCTTAGCCCTCTCTTAACATACAGACCACGATGGCTGCACAATTGAGTTCTGAACAATCTGCAGACTGTTTTGGGAACCAGCATTACCTTTTTGGCACAGCAGCTAAAATAACTATTCAGGGCATTCGAGCATGACAAGCACTCTCCTGTTTTCAATTCGCACTCCTCCAGTTATCTCTGACTATTTATTAATTCTTTCATAGGTTATGAAAATCATAAATCATTAACCAGGAATTTTAATTTTAATATATACTTGTATATAGTAAGCAGTCATATTCCTTCTCATCGTCAGGGAAGCACATGCTGCGCAGTGGATTATATTCTTATGCTTTTCCTATTAAAAATTGCATCTTAAATCACACCACAATATGGTCTCTTGCAGGACTCAGTACTTCGGAGTATTGTGATTTGTCTCCTACAACCTTCATCTAACGATTGCATAATTTTTGTCTTTTCATCTTTTATGGTCTTTAAATCCTTCCCCTTTACTAAGGCTCATTTCTAATGTACTGCATATGACAGGTCACCCAACACATGCTGAATTCTTCTACTATAAATTAATTGCTGAAAAGAGCGGGGAACAAATAAGGTATTATCAGTGCATGCTGGGAGGCATCTAACACAAATATGTGACGTTCCCTCCTACTGCCCCACACCAAATTGAAGACTAAGTGAAGTGCTCTTCAGTATTTCATTCTCAAGTTTGAGGTGTGTTCTCTGGCTGCCCAATTTCCTCCATTTGATTTTACGACAGAAAGCGAAACTACATTCCCACCAGCTGTTCCCAAGTCAGAGCCTGCGTGTCTCTCCTTTCCTTCTTCTCAAGGATTTATCTTTCATACACCACCCACACAGGATTGGGCAACAGTCACAGGCACAAAGTTTAGACTCGGATCTGAACAGCCTCAGAGTCTGCAAGCCGGGGAATGTATTTTGGCTCACAATGATCAATGTTCCAGACCCAGACTTTTTCCTCTCTTTACAGAAGAGGAAGCATACAGTGCAGGGAGAAGCTGTGTGGCAACAGCATAAAACTGATAAAGATGCATAAATTGCCAAATACTGTACACTGCAGAAATTTTCATCCTCACCATGGGGCTAATGGGCTGATGTTGTGGCACACAGATTTTGATGTTTGGATCACAAGACAATGGTTTTTTCTTCTGGATTTTGGACAATTTTCTTTGCATTGTTTGTTAGAATCGTCAATATCGATTCAGTGATATTCTCTTTATATTGGACAACAGGAATCACTCTGCCATCCCTCCCACTGAAGAGAAAGAAAAACTGCTTGACCTATTTATAAGTGTCCTATAAGAAGGCTTCCTTGTATCATGGCTAAATGGTTCATAATAAGGTAAATACTACGTTATTATTAATTGAAGTTTTCAAGTAAATTTCTGTAAGAAGTAGGCTACACAAAAAGGGTAAAATGACCTTCTGATCAATGTAGTAGAGGATACATATATTTTCCATATGACATTATTATTATTTTCCCAAAGAAAGCTTATAAACTAGCAGAGAGATTGTGTCTTCTGTTTAAGTGGAGATTTAATCTCTCCTGTGTTCCTTGTGCTAGCATGTTAACTTTTTATAGTAGGTAGGTTTTTTAAAAAGCCAGAGAAATATTTCCCATCATCCAGTACTCATGCTTTAAATGCAAATTATTTGTCAAACAAGTATGTATCTCACGATTTCAATGTTCTTTTAGAAAATAAACCACCAGATGTGATTCAGTCACCTGTCTGCACAGTCCTCCAGCCAGTCAGTTCTGTTCACACCCCTGAACCTGAAATAGTTCTCCCAGACTGTCACGGTGACAGCTTTAGTGGGTGTGCAAGTAACCGAGTCCCCCAGATGGTGGTGGGAGACACTTGGGAAAGCCCTCCGAGGTCTCCTCTGCCCACCACTCCTACATTGCACATAGCCCCCCCACCACCCCCCCATGAGACATTCAGCGAGGCCACCACCATATCTCTCCCTCTTCCCATGCTCCCCACATCCTGTGACTTACAGAGGAGGGACAAAGGACTTGGCAAGCCTTAGCTGGATGCTGGGGCTTGTTCCAAATGCTGAGGTTGCTACTGGGATCAGGTGCTGGTCATGGGGTTGAATGCCTTATTCCCCTTGGAGATTTGCTGGGTGAAGTGACACTCAGGACACTTTGTGTCATCTTCCAGCAAAGGCCCTGAGAGGTGTAAAAGCAGCAAAGATGTCACCTCTGCTCCACTCCACTGTAAAAAGGATCACACCATGCCTTTCCTGTGCAGCTACAGGTAATAATCCCAACTGGATAATGACTTGAAAATTAAACTGAAATCTCCCCATTTAACTGTACTGTGATGTCTGTGTGCCTCATTGTGTCCAGAACAACATGGTTCCAAGACAAATAAAGAGAAAAGGCTCAAAAACTGGGCTTCAGGCCAGTAAACACCATCGCTGTTGAAGTATGTTGCAGATGAAGCCACTTTAGTTGCTTATAAGTTACAAACAGGGTGGGATGTTGCAATTACATGACTAACCTCTCTAAAGGTTTTTCACCTAAAATTTCAACCTGTGAGAAATATTTGATAGTTCTTGAGCTATTTCACGAAAAATGTTTCAATAGGCACACCCTGTTGATGAGTCTGACGTAACACCATGTAATCTATGGAAAAAACATCATTCTTCAACAATAATCAGTAAGATCCCTTTACTGTGAAAACTTCATCAATCTAAAAAACGCTGTGACACAACAGAGTTCTGGTGTCACCTGAAAGATGCTAAATGCAGGAAGAGTTAATTTTACCAAAGAAACCCAAAGCGGTGACTTCCAGAACTCTTACAGAATATTTTTAACCAGGCTTTGCATTATAATGAATTCTGTGATGACACGCAAAAAAATCCTTTTGAAACAGCACGCTGCAAGGCAGTGGCTGTCAGGAACTGTAACTGATAACTCACCCCTCTTCTACTGGTACCTAACAGGCAAGAAATTGGATATTTAACGTGGTCAGCTAGCATCAATATCCCCAGCAGTATTTCTTTTGTCAAAATGATCTGGTAACAGTGAAGATTCATACTTTAAGCTAAGTTGGGTACTTCATCTCTCAGCAAAATCAGTGCAGGATGACAGACTGCTGGAGAAGGATTTGAAGGACCAGAGCAATGAGCTTCCTCTCTCTGTGGACTCCGTATGGAGCTTAGTTTCACTATAATAGTCATGCATGTTGGAAATTGTAATGGGACCTTTCCTCCAACTCAAGAAAAACTGAATCACAGACATAATTCTGATTGGAAAGACAAACAGATGATCCCAACTAAGGTTAGCATTTTTTCTAAGCACTGTAAGCATATTAGATACTCCTGATGTCATTGTGATGTTTGTGAAATAGGGGATCATACTATTATACATGCATTAACACCTACACATATGTAAAAATACAATTTAAAAAGAGTTTCACATGTCAGCTTTTCAATAAACAAAGTATTTAGTTTTAACATGACTGAATTTACATTATGCTTGCTTTTTAAGTTTAGTCTCTGTCACACAAATGAAGTTTCAGGCAGCTGCTTTGTCTGCCTGACACATTCCCAACCTCCTTTAATATTTCTATTTCCACTGGTTCTAAGATTTCTTTGTTGTTCGCTTTTTCTTTTATAATCCAGGACGCAGTCAGTTCTCAGCTGATACTGCAACTCTCTAAAGAGAGCAATCCTTCTTCGTAAGTCTGGCTGAGGCCAAAAATAGCTCTGTCAGCTTCTGACAGGCTGAACTTAGCCAAGTGAAATGTTTTAACATTTTATCATCTTAATGAACAGGCTTATTTATAACGTGGACAACTTTACTGTCATTGTATGCAGGCTGCTGAATAAATTAGGGAATGCATTTGTTTGGGGAATGCTCAATATATTAAGAAATATAATTTTTGACCAAAGGGCAGTTGTCTTAGACACTATAAACAATTTTAAGATAAAATATTCTTATCCCATTTGAAATAAAGGCATAGCTTAATGGTAACATCTATAACTGTGAAAATACCTGAAGAAAGGAACCTCACAATGATAAATAACTAATTTCCAAATCATAGAAATTTGCAATATGCAAAAATTACTATTAAAACCCTCCGTAACCAGTTTAAATATTACTATTAATGCAATACTGGAAATAAATATGTAGACTAAATATCTACAGATACCTTTAGCACTTTATGGTAGAGGGGGAGGGTTAAAAGTACAAAATAAAAAGCCTAACAGAAAAAAAAGTGTGGGTTAACAATTGCTTACCCTCTTTTCTGCTACCTCATCCTCTCCTGTAGACTCTTTGCCATCATGTTCATCTCTCAGGGTTGGCATATGTTTTTTGTGTGCTGGCTCTCTGTTTAAAGTTGTATATCCTATGTGTTCATAAATTGGATTTATTGTCATCTTGGCAATGTATTCAGCTGCCTTCGTTTCAATATAAAGAGTAATCAATCCATCTGTCACCAGGTCATGGATGGACTCAAAACGTTTCTCCCCAACAAAGTGCTTTCCATCGTAGTAGAGTCTGAAGTTTCTCGTTTGACTTCCAAATCTGCCTCAATGAAATGGGAAAGTTTTTTTTTTAAAGAACAGTAAGCAGAATAAAGAGTAAGCAAGCCTTTGCAAACAATAAAAAACACTTTATCACTTAAAGCTGTGACTGTACTCTGTGCCTGGTTCAGACGAGAATGAAAAACTCAACTACTACTTAGCACAGATAGGAAGGCGAGATCAACAACAACTGCAGATAGATAGCCAAAACAGTGACTGTCCCAGAAGGAGCTGTTTGTTCTCTTATTCTTTTAGCCCCTCCATTATCCCGTGGAAAAACTGAAAATTACTTCACACTCTTTATGGCTTTTTTTAGTACTTTACTACTGCACCACCGTAGTCAATTTGCTTGGCTCTGATATGAAGAGTTCTCATAATAGAGTCCTCTATTACAGCTGATCAATACGGAGTTTTGATGCCGTCTCGGACCTCTGCGCCCCTGCTTGCTTGCAGGAAGAGGCCATTCAGGGTTCAGCTGAGCTTCAGTGCCAACAATTACACTGAAGCAGAACCGCTGCCAGAACTGGAGCAGCACAGGACAAAATGGCACAAGGGCAAGCATTCTTTATTCCTGGCCAAAGGCCAGGGACTAACTCTTCAAGCTTTGTACAAAAGTCCTCTGTGTTATGCTTGTTAAGTCCTGAGCTTCAAGCAGATCTTTGTAATATACAGGCTATATAACATGTAAATTATCTGATGCTAGCAATTCTACAGTCAGGGTGCAATAGGATTTCGATACAGCCTCTTAACAACCATAAGAATGCCAATTTTACCTGAATATTAGCATATTTAAAAAAAAACCTTTACTTTGAATTGGCAACAATTTTCTGCCTGAAAGCAATCTAAACATGTGAAAACACACCAGTGTTTGCACTTGGCAACAGCCAAGTTGTTCTCCTGTGGAGAAGATGGAGGCAAGAAGCTGCTTTCACAGCTCACTCCAGTGTTATTCCTTGGTCAGAGAGCAGCAAGGGTGGCTGCTCAGGGTATTGGGCCCCCTCGTGAAGTCAGATCTGCCAAATACATATCAAAAACTAAATCTGAAAGGATGGATTGCTTTCATTTTACAATCAACTGCTTCATAGGAGATGTTAAGGAACAAAGTAAACACTGGTGCTTTGCTGAAGTGGCTCCTTTTCAATGGGGCCTTGCCAAACAGGGGAAAGCATAATTTTAGACCTTGCCTCAAGTGAATTACTGCACTCTTCTTGCAAATATAAGCAAACCCACTTGTTCTGGGAGGTATTTTTTTTTTCTTGTGTTCTGAATCAAAATGCCAAACCTTCTCAACCTCCTATCCATAATCTGACAGTGACTGTAACTTCAGGAGCTGCTATTTTTACACAACTCTCAAATGTGAGGGTGCCCTCAGGAATCTGTGTCCTGCTCAGTAAGAAAAGAGGACACGATGTGTGGGAACTACCTGGGCATTTGACTGGAAAGGAATTGGTACTTCTATGCGCATTTTTATGCCACACAAACTAAAAGGTAACTGAAACAAACTGAAAAGCAAGAAGTTAAAAAACAACAGAAAGAAATACATTTTTACCCAATGCTATTTTCATCACAAGATGCAATTCTGAGTGAATACAAGTCATTCAGAAAGTAGAAAGATCACGTTCTAAGTTACAGCAGAATGGGTAGGAACATGTTCAGGCTCATTTTTCATAGCATCTTTCTACTCAGCATAATGTATGGCAAATAAGCCTTGACCACAAGACGTACTCCTTGCATACCCCCCTCCACCATCAGAGAGATCAAGACGAGCCAAGAGTGCTCAGCACTTTGCAGTGCCAAAGTGAGCAACCTTCACTGTCTTCTGCTTGAGTCAGTGGGATAAAGCACGGAGAGCGCATACAAGCACTATGATGTTCAAATTTGACAAGAGAACCCAGTAAGTTTGAAGGTGAAGATTAGTGGCCCTTAAATGACAATATGCAATAGAATTATTTTTATTAACAGATGTAGCAGGTGAACTGCTGCTCTAATCAGTAACATATGCTCTGACAGTACTTACAGCAGAGTTTTAAACAAGCTGGAGGTCACTTAGTGCTCTTAGCTTTCTAGAAGAGAAAGTATTACACTAATCTTATCAAGAGAAGATAAGGCACAAAAAAGCTTCTCAGGGCCTATTACTAAGTACACATGGTGTCTCGATTTTAGTAACATCCTTCAGAGTCTAAAACAAAGTTCTGAAGAACAAGATGGCCAAATGCAGAGAACAAATAAAAGTTCTTAAAGGATTAATCCTCTTCCCATCAGGGTCCGTAGGTGGATGGTTCTACCCCAGCTATGTTTTAGTGAGCAGCCCTTATGCTGTACATTTGTTCAGACTGCTGCACGTAAAGCGTGTCTTTGAGAGATACTACAAGGAATAGGATTCCCAAAAGTACATAATCTTTATCCCACTGCGCCTGACCCACATTTTAGCACACGAGTATCTCATAGACAACGTTCCACAGTTTTAATCCTTTAACAGCACCCCACGCCTAAACTCATCTCTCTCATAAACCTCACAAAGAGAATGAAACTTCCTCCTGTATGGATCTGAGGAACTGCACATCAATTTCTTTTGGCATGAGTTTAAAATACATTAGCATAATTTAACAATCACCACTTAAAGAAAGGTATTTAGAAAAACTAATTACTGTGCATCCGTGTCATGACCACTTGGAAAAGGTGTGTAAGGCATATCAGCTGCAGGAGGTGAACATTAAATGGTTTGCCTTGATCTGATTTCCCATTTGTTCCAAATCAAACTTTTTTCTCTCTATCTATTTCTTATTGGATACGTTGTGGGGAAATGTATTGTTTTTCAAATAAAATCCTATTAGTAACAAGGAGGAAAAAAACCCATCCCAAATCCCCACAAATCAATGAAACGCCAATTTCTTACAAAGACTGTACCATCAATAATGTATCTCGGAATCCTCTTTTACTTCTTTCAAACTCATTTAAATTTCTTTCTGACCACACAATGATACTATTTGATCAAATTACAATATAAATGCAAACATATGTGTCTAATTGCAAATGATCAATTAAAATGTAATCTTCAGTCCCTTCAGTCTTACTTAAAACTATGGTTTAAATTTTCCATTACCAAGAATATTTCCTTATGTTTACTTTCTATAACATTACCACAGCCTGGTTAATTATACATCGCTGTGGCAACTAAGCAGAGCCAAGATTTGATATTTCAACTTCCTGATGGTCTCTTCCTGAAGGCAAGCACTAGTACCAGCTGGTTTTTGTTTAAGAAATAGAAAGCAGGACACAGATAATGTATGTTCTCTTTTGGTTTAAACAGGGGAACATTAGATGTTTTTCCAAGAAAAAGAAATAGACCTCTGACATGTCAAACAGTCTCATTGTGTCCATTGTGCATTTGTTTGCAAGCAGCAGGACTACAGATAAAAGACTTTTTTTATTCCAAGTTGTCTGAAAAGCAATCAGTCTGTCTAGTCCCTTTGGTTGCCAGTGGGGCAGAGGGGATAACAACGTGGGAAAACGGATTAAATGGTAGAGCAAATGTGGCTAGTAATAAAGGACTGAGGAGTTGAATTAGGTATCATAGCACGAGAGAGACAGGCTTCAGACTCAGCCACCTACTCTGTATGCAGCATTCACTGATGAAACAAAGGAAGAAGTGAACAACCAAGAGCCCATCCGCACTTTCTTACCATCTAAGAAGACGGATTTAACAGTCCACATACAGAATTGTACAGTAGCTATTCACCTCTTTCACAGGCTATTTTACGATGAGAAGAGTACCTAGACAAAGGCATTATTTAAAATGTGTAGCTGCAACCAGACCACAAAGTTAACGCCCCTTGGGGCTACTTGTGTCCTTATTAGTTTAAAGCATCTTCATACACTGAGCTGGGAAATCTTAAGTTCTGTACGTGGGCCTGAAGGTCACTTGGACTTAATACTCCCTTGGAGAAAAGGTGTCTTCACGTGCTTTGCGGCCAGAAGGTAGAAGTCTCACTTAAAATTAGGTGCCAGAGTTTCAGCTCTAACTTCTGAAAACTCTCAACCAACACTTAAATCTAGAGGCTTGACACTCCATAAAAAGCCACAGAAACATAAGCAATCTTGCAATCAGGAATGTCTCCTAATCATTCTGTGCTCATGTAAAAGAAAACAAATTATTCCACAGATCCTCTTTTGGCTCATTTCCTTGTCAAAGCAACACAAGCCTTGCATGCAGCCAAAACCTCTTGTACATAGCTATCCCTGAAGATCTCCAACTCGTGAGGGCAGCTACGTTTTTGGTTGGTTTTGGTTGTTTTTTTTTTATGGCAGCAACATTTCTGAGGATGGCCAGGGAATTGTAGAACTTACCGTCCTCCCAGAGTACCTGCCTGACAAACAGCATCATCTCCAGAACCTTAGCAGTAGTTTACAAGAATGCAATATGCATAAATGAAATCAAATGCATTAGGGATCAAAAGTAAAGGTGCACTTTATACAAGTGGAGACAAAAAATCCTCATTGCCTGACATGGCTGAGAAAGGTGCCAGAGTACAGTTACTATAGAGAGTTTTCCTGTGCCATTTCGAAGGGCAGCGTTGGCAGCCTGGCTGACTGTTGCTTAATGAACATTAATTAGGTAGAAAGTTATCTCTAACCTGATCAGACCCATGCACTGGCTGAATGCATGACAGTTTAGTTTAGCATGGAAAAAGTGTGGCATCCTCCAGAATAGAAAACAAATCCCGCAGCTGGAACTGTAACGTGTGGACTCCACGCCAATGCAGACATAACCTTCAACTCACTCCGTCTAATCGGGATCAAGGGGAAAAAAACCAACAGAGCTGGTGCTATATCACTGACAACAGCCTCCAGCATTCTGTCTCAATTGAGACTGAAGACTGTTTACCTGCATCACTGCCCAGACTTCCTTGTCCAAGAGGGAAACAGTACTGTGCAAACAGCATGCTGCAAACAGCAGGCAGTGAGGACCAGAGAAATGGCACTTTCCTGTGCATCATGAGC